CGATACATTTTCTATTCTATGATCTCGGATGAGATACCACTGGAAGATAGTTTATCATCAATACAAACATAAGCAACGATCACATTTTATTTATGATGTATGCAACCATTCAAGACGTGCTTTTTGCCCAAATGAAACAAATTTCGTTTAAAAAACGGCCAAACGTAATGTACGAATAATTCTTATTTAATCACTTACGGAACTAAACCGTCTCCTAATCGGAACATCTTTCTGATGCAGCGAGTACGCCCCGGTAATGGTTCCACCTCTACCGAGTAAAAAATTCTCGTAATCTGCTGATCCCGAACGGGAAGTGATTGAAAATTGTCGTGACGAGTTGCGTGATTGGGACCGGCTTGGGGGAAGACTGTGCTCGTCAGTCATACCAGTGGGCTCGTGATATCCAACACAGCAGTTGTGATCTACCTATTGGTCTACTGGCGAATGCTGACCGCAGAGAAGAGCTATGCTGAGTTGGACTATCGCCCGCATTTTACAAAGTATCAAGGTCACAGTGAACCGTGAAAAAATCGATAAGTCAGCGTTGAAGTAAATCGATCTGTGATTGGTCGACTGGTGTGCGATTGTGACTGTCCAGTGTGTACTGTATTTCCAGCTGGGGCCAGTGCACATTGGACAGATTCAAAGCTGAAACAGTTTTGCAACTCGATGTCCAATCTCTACTACTGGTGTTTTAAAGATAGTGATGATCTCAACTAGTATGATCTAAGTGAATGAATTTCGCAAAAACGCCAAGCTAAATTCTAGTAGAAATCAACTAAGTATTTCTCTGGTGATCCAGGCATACGTGACCGCATTCCAAGTACGACCAAGTACAGCTTCATGTCATCCAATCGAAATACAAGAAGCTGGACCAATGGTACGCCGGGCGAGCATTACACCAGATTTAATACATGCAATGTGTCTGCGCAAACGGTTACGTGATTGGACGATGATCTTTCAACCCATCACATGACCTATTGCTTTCCATCAAACATGCTGTATTTCTATGAATAAACATTGGTAGTTGTTCATACCAATTCCTTGTGTTTTTCATTGGTGTCCGCAGTTCCGGATGGAGTCAATCCAGTTCCGAGTATTACGGTACGGGTTTTCGTATTGTTAAATTCAATAATATTCTGATTACCACAATTTCGCATAATGAATATCGCATGATGTGCACTACAATTAGAACTCGTTGATAGCACAGGGTCGCAAATAGGAATAGACTAGGTGCAAAATATTTTCCCAAAGTGGATTTCCTTGCTATTTCAGTCGGATACTGGTTCAAATGGTATCAGTCAATTTCAGCATTGACTAAGGTAGAAATTCCATTGAAACTCAATCCCAGGAAGAGTTCATTTTGAAGAAGCTCTTTTGAGGAAGGAGAGTTGTGGTGATCTGGGCCTACAAGATACCACGTACCCTGGAGCGACGCGTTACAGTTTTTGGGCAACTGCGATCAATCAAATTTCACGGGTGACGTCAATAACGCGCGTATGTGTCACTGCTTCTGAATTCATGCCATAGGTGGATCGTATCAGCCAATCAGGGACAGTGTGGCCCAAACAGAAGCAGAACGGTGCAAGCAATACTGGAACACGATTGGTAGAAGCCCAGATAACCAATGAGCCTACTTGGTACAAATTATTTGATCCCCTTTATTTCTTGCAATTAACGAACTACCCTTCCTGTGGCCTTTTCCTCGCGTCTCAGTTACGTGGGACATTGCGCGCTAGTGCCTGTGCGGTCCAGTGCTTACGTGACATCCGTGACTGCTACTCAGTGATCCGTATTCCGTGATTCGTGTTCCGTGATTCGCGTTGCGTGGTTCGTATCCCGAGTTCAGTGCGTACTACTATTACTACAACTACAACCATTACACTTTAGCCAAAATCCACAATTCCTTAGCCATGACCCGTAGTCCTTTAGGTTCAATACAAAAACGTTTTAGTAGGCGAGTCTGATCAAAAACTATCGGCATATACGGTGAGGTCAGTGAATGTTGAAACGTTTTATTTTCTACGGATGTCGATTTTGCAAAACGTGGTTAAGAAATAAGAAGCTGGGTGGGGGGAATTGCAAGCTGCACCACACGTTGACTGAAGACGGTTTAACCGATGTGCCTGTATCGTCAAATCATTTGACACATCTCGTACAGTGTTTCAGTGTTTCCATATAACATGTAATAGTTCTATGATTATTGATCTTAAATGTTACACAAACGGTAAATTACCTTGCATTCACAAGTGAACTCTGGTCATGAGAAGTTGATCCGTAAACTTGCAGAGAATAATAATCATTGTTCACAAAACTGGAACCTGGATGCCTGATTTATTCAAAGCAGAACGTAACCTACCAACTTCAGCGGTGACCAAAATTTCAATCGACCTTTGAACTACTACTAATAAAAACACTAGTCTATTATCTGAAAATTTGTTTTCAATGTCCTTTCGATCAAAAATATCGAAAGTAAAACAAGTGTATGCATATTGATTGGCCCGTTTACATGATATTTAAGGTATAAACATCTGATTTCCTTTCAAGGGGGCAGAAAACAGATGAAAATCCCACATACTGAATTTAGA